GTGCCGTGGGTACAGGACACACACATACACGGAAACCTTTCCTCCTCTTCAGCTGATTACCTCAGGTGTTTCGTCACAGTAATGAAAAGCTGACTCACACACATGGGCACAGAATGAAACCTCTGTTATGCCAGGCCCTCTTCCCTAGCCACTTAGAGGATCTCTCAACCTCTTTGTGGTTGTGTGCCAAATCCACTAGGCTCCCTCCCTTGACCACAGAGGACGGCCTGTGCCCAAATGGTGCCATTCCCCTAGTGTGCTGCTCTAACTGAAATACAGTAAAGGGATTGAAGGAAGGCACCCAGCTTGCAGAGGGGTTCTGGAAAGACCTTCTGATGATGCTTCTACCAGGGCAAGACAGGTCAACAATGTTCCATCCAATCCCAGGTCAGAGCACATGTAGTATTAACAAGAAAATATCCTCTCTAATGCCAATTTGCATAGAAAAATAGAGAAGGAAAAAAAAAACACCACCTAAATTTAATGTAACTGCAGATGGCAGAGGAAAGATGAACTCTAGTCCAAGGGTTCTGTTCTCTGTCTTGCTACAGATTCCAATGTACAGTTGAGAATTTGGTTTTGTTGTCAGGAATATTAAATAATTCTCAGGTTGAATTTTTAATGTATGAGATAGATCACAAAGTAGGGTTTTTTTAGCATTAATAAAAATATCTGAGTTCCCTGTTTTTGTTTTTCAGTGTGAACGTTACCTCTGCATCTTCTGTGTGAAGTACACCCATGGACTATATTCCTGACTGTTAACTATTTTAATCAAGCAAAAAGCAAAAGGCAGAAAATTCCATTTTTGCTCAGGCTGGAAGTTACTGTGACTCTAGAAGGCGAAACACAGGCCAGACAGGCCATGTGGTCTCCATTGCCCTAAATCTTAGAGCTGTAATAGAGTACATAGTTGTTCAATATACTTAAAAATGTCAGACATAGCCCGCTGTTGATATGAATTCTACATGCAAGAAACCTCATTATATTGTCACAAAAGATATCCATAATAATGACTGAATATCCATACCCAAATATTTTTACATAGTTCCACGTATTAGGAATTAGAGTTAAGGCTCTGTATGGTGACCCATGCCTTTAGTCCCAGCGTTTAGAAGGTAGAGGCAGGTGGACCTCTGTCAGTTTGAGGCCAGCCTGGTCTACACAGCAAGTTCCAGGGCGGCCAGGGCTACAAAGTAAGTGTCTCACACACACACAAAAAAAAAAAAAAAAATGAAAAAGAAAGAAAAATATTAGAGATAATAGTTATCTCTAATATTTCTTTATAATAATTAGAGATAATAGTTCTCATCTACAAAAAAGTGTCAATATAATCCACTCAATGAGCACCAAAGTCAAAATGAAGAAGCCCCTGCAGATACCTGAATGGCCTCACTCAACATCCTCAACACTCCCATCATTTATAATGGTGAAAAGTGTAATAGGCCTTTGCCCCCATCGGTACCAACACCCTCTAGTGCGTAGTTACATCTCAGTTTCTAAACTCCATTCTCCTAGAGAAAACCACCATTACTGTTCTTTAAAACATGGGATGAAGCCTGATTTCCAACAGGAACTAAGACCATTTCATAGTTCAACAGTTGAAATAACTGAGTATAACATATTCTTGATTGCAGCAGCAATTACAAATTATGTCAATTAGCTATTTTAGAAACCACTGTAACCCACAAAGGCGATTCTATGACAATTAGGTATTTCCATTCTGGGCAAGCCATAGTAAACGTCTGACTATAGCTTATTGATCATACTTTACATCAGAAGCTGTCTTCCATTGCTCTGACAGACTGTGGAATCTACAAGGAGGTTAAGAACCCAAGGAAAGATCTACTCTGAGTGAAGTGTTTCTTTGCTAGAGCCTAAGAAGGTAAATAACACAACCGTGTTCAACAAAAACCACAGACTTAGGATTGAAACCTCAGGCCACACCTGGTGGGATGAGAAGCTAATAAAGGAGGGGCCTTCTCTGAGCTTGAGATGAGTCTTTGACTGTTGCCCCAAGGCTGTCAGACCATACTCCATGAACTCAGCAGAAAGAAGTCAGAGATGTCTACGGATGTCTTGAATGCTTCCATCTCAAAAACAAGTCACTGCACTGGAAGCCAGCCCACTTCTGCATATAACAGTAGGGCCAGATGTAAACATGTTTCCTGTGTATACATTGTAGAAGCCTACTCTATGAACCAAACACAAACAGAAAAATCTACTTCAGGTTTCTCCTTTTGCTTGGTGAACACTGGAAAGCTTTTCATTCGGTAGACAATATGTCATGGTCCAGAAAAGGAAATCCTAAGCTCTAACTAGGAGCACACGTGTATGTTAATATGTCACTCCCTCAAAATTCTGCATGTTAACTGGAAAATATCAGTGGCATAATTTGTAATGGTATCTAATGACCAAATTTAAATCCATGTCCCTAGAACTATACAAAACATGCATCTTGAACATTTTAAACCAAATATCATCCTAAAATATTTCATGTTTTAATATTTAATTTGATTCAGCCGGGCCTCTTATTTTGTGTCTATAAAAGTAGAAGAAGCTGCAATGATTTTTCTAGTTCCAAAGGCATACAATTCCTACTGGGCTGTCATATTTATGCTCTCACGGGAATGACAAAGACAGAAGGTCCTGGGTATCATCTACAAATAAGCTTGCTGCTGATGCCACCTTGTCTGCCCTCCCCCAGTTCCCTGTAGCTGCAAAGCATGAGGTTGCTTACCTTCACATTTTTGTGACACTTCATTAAATTTGTGTCCAGCAGGGCATTTGCACTCAAAAGACCCAACAGTATTAATGCAATTTCCTCCTTGACACAGCCCAGGGATAGCCTGGCATTCGTCCACATCTGTCAGATTTGGGAAAACAGAAAGACTCATTGCAGAAGAAAACTTAACAGTTTATCCACAATTATATTACCAAATTTATGTCAAGGCATCCATCACAGTTTCCAGAATATGATGATAGCAACTGTTATGATTACATTATGTAAAATAAGTTATTAACACAGCTTAGTCAATAATGCTCAACAAGAAGGAGGCCTGTCTTCCCACAAGCAAAAGAGACTATTTCTATTAATTTTGGAGTTTTTTTATACACAACAAAGTAAAATACATAATGATTAAAATGATCGGTTTTTTACTGTTTTTTTACTGTGTCATTTTCCCATTCAGATTGGCAATAATAATCAAAAGTATCTAAGATACACTTCAAAATCAAAATGTGATATACGTCCATAAAGCTATCTTTAAGTGTTACGATGAATGTCAAAGGTAACATGAAATTTACTTGAGAACCCTGAGATTGCCACAACAGCTAGCCAAGTCTCTTCATACATACGTCCTTTACCGTCTGGAAAACTGTCTTGTGCAGGAAAAACTCATCAGGGCTGGAAGGGAAAACTGTGCTGGATACTGTGTGGGCTCATCAACCAGAGCAGAATCCAGGAAGGACCCTCCGAAGCTCAGAGCACATCCCTCCCTGTCACTGCTAAGTCAGAGAAAGTCCATGCCTTTCCACTGTTTGCTCTCACCTCCCTCTTTCCCCCTCCTCTCCAGGTTTCCTCAGATACACCATGGATATGCTGCCTTGAAGTGTTGTAATCGTGGCCCCTCTTTCTGAAATATTCTCCCTGTTGGAGCTTCATGGTTGGTTCATCCTGACTCCTCTTTTAGTCTCTGGACCAATGCCACTTTGCTCCAGCTAGTGTATAGCAACATCTGGCCCCTGGGTCTCAATACCGACCATCCTAATAATGAATCTGTTTCATGGCTCAACACACAGGCTTCCCTGCAGCAGAGACTTGGTCCACCTTGCTCAATGCTCTATCCAAGAACCTAGGGACTAACCTCTGGTCCTATAGATAGTCCCAAATTAACTTCCCCAACAGAACCTCCTCCTCCATGATGTTGGCTGTCTGGATTCCATTGTGAAAACAGCGTATACAAGTGTATTCTCTCCATTTCTTCATTCAGAACACAGAAAATCCTGGTTTAATACATGGGAGTCTTGAGTTTCTTCCTCTTGGACTGTCTTGTGGACATCCATGAGTGCAGTACCCTCTTTCAGTCCTGATGCTGAGAGAAGCAACAAAGCAACTGCCATTTGCAGGCTCTCAGCCTATGCTGCCGGGAAAACTCACCCACAGTAAAACGGGAACTAGAGAGGAAATACTTATTTGGGCATAAAAACGCCACTATTTTAACAGAATGTCCTGACCCATAAATGAATGACTATATTGAAAAAATTGGATTATGTTTTACAGCCAGATTCATTTTTATCTTAGACCAGGATTTTCTAAATGTTTATTAAAATGTTACTTGAAATCACAATTTAAAGTCAGATAGACAATTCTAGATACTCTTGTTGATTCTGATTTTTGGTCAACAGGAAATGTGTATGAGGGCAGTTCCCCACTAACCATGTGCCCCCAGACTACACCTATATACAGGCCTCTATCAACCCATTTGCCCACAGCCTACATCCGGCCCAAGGACTAGAAACACCAGTAAGAAGACACCTTGGCCTCATATAACACTTTGAGAATCTCTCCCAGCAAAAGAAGAAATCTTGTTGCGAGTGATCCATATAGACTGCTATTTTGAAGTCATGGATTTTCACTAAGCTGCTTTCAGTCTTCCCCACCTTAGGTGTTGAAGGACAGTCATGAGGGAACAGGAAGCAACCTTGGGGAAAATCCAGACCGTCTGAGCTAGTAACAAGCTGAGGAGAGTCCCCCTTCCCTCTCCTCTCCTTCCTCTTCTCTCACTTCCGTTGGCGCCCAAACCTTTGACAGTAAACTCACTGACAGCTGGGAGCTGGAGATCATCCTTTCTAGTCACTGTCAACAACTCATGGGTATTAGCAACCTCAAAACACAATGACCAACCAATCCCTCAAAACTCAAGACTTTCTAAGAATGAGAGAAATAAGACATCAAAGGAAAGGCTTACTCCTAGCAATCCTTGAGAATCTAGGATTTCAAAACAACCTCTTCTGGCTGCTCCTGACATTCAGGGGGACACATTCAAGGGCATCCAGAGGAGTGGTGTCTGGGAGCCAGGCACTTTCAGTTTAGTGCAGCCCACAGCACAGGGGAGAGTCGCTCAAATCCTGTTTTTTCTGCATCCTAACCTTCAGAATGAACACATGGGGCAGAGCCAAACTACTACCTACTTCCCTCAGAGAAGCATAGTTTCTGAATTTTACAAAAATATTGCAGTTATCTTTTTTTTAGAAAAAGTACTTCAGACGTCTACAGGAAGCAGAGATAGCCTGGGAGTTTTGGGGCCCATCAGTTCAGTGTGGAGTGGCCTCTGCTCACTTCCTCCTCTTTCCTGCCAGACATCCAGACAATGAAAGAATTTACACAGCTGGGGGAATAGAGTCCAAGCCAAAACCAGGATTCTAGGGGAGGGCAGAAGAGTGTTGAGGCAACATCTGGGGGTATTTAAAACAGGGAAACCAATTCTAATTTATTTCTGACTTGTTAAAAAAAAAAAAAAAAAGCATAATGTAGCATGTCGAATGTCCAGAGGAGCAATTTTCTTCAGGTCAGTTGAGTACAACCTTAAGCTCAGGACTCAGAGTTTCAAATGAAGAGAAAACAACAACCACTACCTTGTTTGCCGTGTTCCTACACAGCACTGCCGTCAGGCCCGCATCCCCCCCCCCCAGCTGCTACTCCTGTGCCAGAGGCGCAGGGAACCACTCCTGAGGCCAGAAGAGCCGCTGGCAAGGCAGTCTTAGCCAACCTTCCTGGCTTTACGAACCATGCTACTGAGGGCTTCAGCTGTACTGTCAGGCAGGGAACGGGGCATTCTCAGGAGCTGGGCCTTGTCCCCAGGCAGGGACAGGGCATTCGCAGCTGCTGGGCAGTACCCTCAGGCAGGGGACGGGGCATTCGCAGCTGCTGGGCAGTACCCTCAGGCAGGGGATGGGGCATTCGCAGCTGCTGGGCAGTACCCTCAGGCAGGGGACGGGGCATTCGCAGCTGCTGGGCAGTACCCTCAAGCAGGGGATGGGGCATTCGCAGCTGCTGGGCAGTACCCTCAGGCAGGGGACGGGGCATTCGCAGCTGCTGGGCAGTACCCTCAAGCAGGGGATGGGGCATTCTCAGCAGCTGGGCTGTGTCCCCAGGCAGGGACAGGGCATTCGCAGCTGTTGGGCAGTACCCTCAGGCAGGGGACCGGGCATTCTCCACAGCTAGAGAATGGCCCTCCAGTGAACAGAACGTGTTCCTTGTTATTCCCGCTGCATTACCTTGACAAGCTCCGGTGCGGATGTTGGGAATGAAGCCGCGACGGCAGGGGTGAGGCTGGGCAGGACACATCTCACACGGGTGGCCCCAGGCTCGGCCCACTGTGGCACAGCAGAGTGTTTTGGTGCAGACAATCCCACTGAGCTGTCCCTGGCACATCTGGTTGCTGACCACAGTAAAACATGGTCCTGTTCTGTAATCTGAAAATAAAGAATAAGACTCTCGTCAATGTCCAGAAGACCGAGGAGGACCGGTACACAGAGGAGCAGCTGTGCCCCGGACTGCTAAGCTCCAAGCTCAGACACAAACTTCGGGCAGCTCCCACATCATTGACTGTGTAAAGTCCCAGTGGACCGTTCTACCTCTAAACCCCGTTCTTCTCACCTACAAAAGGGAGTAACATTGGGTCCTGTCCACTTTGAAGATGCCTTTGTTAGGGTCAGATGAGCTTAGAGTAATTCTTTATAACTGAATGCTGAGGCAAATCAGCATCCTGGCATTTCTATCCAAGCACTCGGTCTAGAAAATATCTAGGTATCTATATCACATCAGCCCCTTCATGTACCATAGGTACTTAGTGAAAGGAGAACCATGTGTCAAAGAAACGTCTGAACTCCCATTGTCATGGAGAGTTCCCGTAATTGCTAAGAATGGAAGCAGCCCATGTGTCCTGATCAGCTGATGAATGAATGAAGTAACGGGGTGCATACACCCCATCAAGTATTATGCAGCCCTGAAAAGGATGGGATCCTGTCATTTGAAACAGCAACAGGGTAGGTACAGATGGCTATGGTAAACTAACTGAGGCAGCACAGAGAGACGAGACCCGCATCCTGCCATTGATACGTGGGCTTTTAAAAGTACATTGGTTCTCAAAGGCTTGGCAAAGTAGGGGGAGAGGAGGAGCAGGGGAGAGGTCATCATTCGGTACCGGCTGCAGTCAGTACAGTAGCGGACTACAGACAACAGCAACGCCATGTGCGTGTCAAAGTCCAGAGGAGAGTGCACTGAAGGTGTCTGCCAGAAAGAAACGCTAAATGGAGAGGACGTGTTTTAAGTGATTTAGTATTTTTTTACATTTATTTTTATGTGGGGTGTGGGACAGGGTGGCTGGCATGCCATGGCATGCATGTGCAGGTCAGAGAAGCTGTGGGAGTCTGTCATCTCCTTCCACCAAGTTCATCCCCGGGGTCAAACGCAGGTCATCAGGGTTGGCAGAAGGTGCCTCCACCCACCGAGGTATACCATGGGTACATATTATTTCACTCTGCTGGCTTTTTAAACTTGCATGTAGTTGAATTCTAGGTATACTTTGATACTCCACACAATATGCTGGACTTCTTCAAAGCTTATCATCCTCCATTGATAGTAAGTTTAAAAGGGGATTCAAAAATTTACCACTGATCTACTGACTAAAATCTCAGCCTTCCTTTTTTTTCCCCAAAAAAGAGGTCACTGGACTCTGGGGTAGATTGCCACAAAGCCATCCACATGCAACAACTATGTGGACAAAAGGGGACACTGAAATCATCTTTACAAACATGGCCCCATAGACATCTAATAAATACTTATCTATTTTATTTATGATTTTAAAAATTAGCACACAAAATAATGGTTTTCATAACAGGCTTTTCATATATATATATAAAATTCCATTACTCTTTCTTGTTCTCTTGTTCACATATATATGTATCTTGAAAAGTCTAGATTCTACATCTGAAAGAAAACATGCAACCATTGTCTGAGCCTATTATTTTGCTGTCATAAGATCTCAAACTCCATCCATTTTCCTGAAGATGACATAATTGTGTTCTTCTTTATGGCCTAATAAAACTCCACCGTTTGTATATACCACATTTCCCGAACTGTAAGTGGATTCTACAACTCAGCTATTCAATAAACCCAGTGTGCAGGTGTCTCTGTAGTGAGCTCACTTAGCCCTTTTTTGGGCATGTACCCAGGAGGGGTACCACTGGACACTGTTTTGGGCTGGGGAAGGCAGCTTTGCATTCATTTCCACAGTGACTGTGTTCATCAACTCTCCCACCAGCAGCGTGTAGAGGTTCCTTCCCTCTCGTCCTCACCGGTTACTTGTTTTTCTGTTTCTCAATAATAGCTATTCTGCCTGGGGTGGGATGGACTATCCGTGTTGTAGTACAGATCTGCATTTTGCTGGAGGCTAAAGAATGTGCGACTTTTCTTCACTTGTATTTGTTTGCTATTTGTACTTCTTTCAAAAGCTGTCTCATCAGTTAATTCGCCTCTTTATTGATTGAATGATTTGGCAATTTTTGGGGTTTAGTTTTTTGAGTTGTTTATAAAATATAAATATCATGCCCTGCAGGCTATCTCTTTACTCCATTAATTTTTTTCTTTTATAATTTAATATTTTATCATGTACTTTTTATTCAAAATTAAGAAATTACTTTAGACCATTAAGAAACGGCAATGACACATAAATAAGAAATCTAACTGTATACAAACTCTTGATTACATATGATCACATTACATATAATGTACAATGTGTATTGTTATTTAAACCACAACACAATTAGTATATGATTATAATCTTCTTTGCAAGATAGAATCTTGGTTTTCTTTCAGAAAATGTTATCCAATCTATTCTTCCAAGTAATTAAGTATTATTCCAAAATATGAGTTTTAGTGTTGCCTAATTTTCATCAAGCTATGATATAATTTATTCAATCAGTTTCTTACTGTGTGTCATTGAAATCACTTCCAATTCTTCATTATTGTACAAAGTGTTAAGTGTGTTTAACTCAGGCAACAACCATCAAGATTTGTCTCATTTTACATATCTTAAACCAAGGCCAGAGTCACACAATATTTCTATGTGATGTAACAGGGCAGAAAATGTAGGCTTGTCTCCACTTTCCTGCTAATTTTCTGAGGCAAGCACAGATGCACAGATTTGTATTAGCACGCCATTTCCAATCTTCTTTGCAACAGCATAATGGAATGTGGACTTTAACTAGCAAGCCTTCCTTCATCACTGCTTGGATCTGTACTCATTTCAATAACACTCTATTTGGAGTATCATATACATGAGTGATGTAAGCAATCAGAGTAACCTGAACACGATGTTTTGTGGGTAGCATCAGCAAAGGCCAGGAACATCACATGATGCCAAGAAAAGTCCACTTCAGCCCTGCATAACACTGGTTCCAGACCTCAGATGTGAATTCTTGCTTAGACGCTCTTAACATTTTCCAGAGTCAACACAAAATGTTGCAATATACGGAACAGTATGAAGTACAGGGAACAGAGAGGATGCCTGTTAATTCCCACCATGTCTATCAGGTAGCTCCACAAACCCACATCTAGGTCCATGCTAGACAAAGACTGTCTCATCGACGCTGTTGTAATATCTTACTGGTGTCCTCCATAGAATTTATTATTCTTAATATAGGTAAAACATGTTATTAAAAAGGTTTTCTATTTGCATACCACTCTACAATTACTTCCTTATGAGATCTCCATGAAAGAGGGCACCAGGCCAGCCCTTCCCAAAGTTAAAATGCAAAATTGGTGGTTCTCAACGAGTTTGCTCTAGTTTGTATCCCTCTGGGACATTGTGCCTCCGTGTGATCCATCGTGAGGGTTGCCCTCTAGTCTCATCAGTTTGGCCTCTAGGATGGAGGGAGTGTTGTTTTATTTTACTTTTATTCTACTAGAAAGAAGGCCCGGAAATTAAAAGCATGCACTACTCTTGCAGAGGACCCCAGTTCAATTCTCAGGTCAAAGGACCCCTGACCGAAGTCAGGTGGCTCTGCAACTCCGACTCGAGGGGGTTCTCATGCCCCAGGCCTCAGGACACACTTGCACTCATGGACACACAGCCACCCTCATATAGACACATCTACAATTAAAAGTAATTTAAATTTTTATTAGATTTATTGGAGGAGGGGGGTGTGGTAAGTGTGCCACTGTGCACACATGTGGAGATGAGAGGACATCTCGTGGGAATCAGTTCTCTTCAACTACCGTGTGGTTCCTCGAGATCGAACTCCGGTCATCAGACTTGGCAGCAAGCCCCTTTACCCACTGAGCCACCTGGCCTAGGCTTAAGTTCTGGCCATATAGCTGTGCTCCCTGATGCTCAGCTCACTCCCCGCTCTGCAATTTTCTTAGCCTGAACTACAGGATTAGTTCTCTTTCCTCCATAATCAGACTTCACCCTGACGCAAACTCGTCCTTGACAGGCAAAGTGTTCCTGTGGTCAGTAAATTCCTGTCACTCATGCCCAGCCACTGAACCACAAGCTACGGAGAATCAGAAGGATATAATTTTGGGTACTAGGCTCCAATTATTTAAAACCTTTCCTTTCATAAAAAATTATATATAGAAGATTAAGATATCAATTTATTCATGACAGAGAAGTCAGAGCAGACATGTTTCTGCTAGGAAAGCTGGCCAATAGGATTTCAAGTCAACCCTTAGAGAGGGGAGTTCAGAAAGCTTCTGATCTAAAGAAAACAAAAGGGAGAAAGCCCCAGGATCGTAAGCAGAAGCAGCTTCATTGCTACTGTTGCTATTTCTGATTCCAGCCACTTATCCATGGCACATCACAGATCACTTAAGAAGTTTCTGCTAGCCGGGCGGTGGTGGGGCACGCCTTTAATCCCAGCACTCGGGAGGCAGAGCCAGGCAGATCTCTGTGAGTTCAAGGCCAGCTTGGGCTACAGAGTGAGTTCCAGGACAAGCTCCAAAACTATACAGAGAAACCCTGTCTCAAAACAAAACAAAACAAGTTTCTGCAAATTAGTGGTGCCGGGAGCCCTGTCCCTGTTCCAACCAGCCTCACTTCGGACTCTTACTCTACAAGGTGTGTCATGGGATATTTTGTTATTAAACTATTCCCATAAGTGAGATGTTCAGTAGAAGGCTTTATTAAAAACAGAATAAAATAAAAAATAATTGCCTGTGCTATCAAAGACGTCATAAAAATACACTGCTTACAAACATTCCTCTGCAGATCCACCCACTGTGTGGCACCAGGAGTCAGCTTCGGAGAGACAGCAGAATGGTGGTTGCAAGGGACATGGGGGAGGAAGGAACGGAGGGTTTGTGTTTAGTGAGTACAGAGTGTCAGTCTGGGAAAATACCAAACATTTCTCCGTGGAGATCACCCTCATGGGTGGATGATACCGATTCCAGAAGCCATGGGTTACCAAACAAA